AGGTTTGTCATTTCTTCACTATAATAGTATGTTGTCACGAGCCTGCAGTTGACCTCGGTAGATGGCTGTCGCTGAGGGGATACCCTTCCAGCTTTTCCACCGCTGTACGCAGCTTGTCGAATGCTTGGACATTCGCATCCAGGGACGCTTGGGGGCGGAACTTGAACGCGTGGAGGCGTTGATACACGGAGATCGCTGTGGCGTGCTTCTGATCCTCGCTGCAGTACTTGCCGCGGAGCTTTGTGATGATGCAATATGCACATTTTTCGAGGTTAGAGGCGGCGATATCGCGCCATATCGTGTCCGAGAGGGATAATTGCACGAGTGTGCACGCGCGGCTGACAGCTGCACTTTCGGCCTTAAGCTTGGACTCGATGTCCGCTCTGATCGCATTCGCGAACACCGCGTTCGTGGAGCGGTTGATGTTCAGCCACTCCGTTATACGCGGTCCCCACGACCTTGTGGGAGTGCAAAGTAAGAGGAGGTGGAGGAGTGTCGTGCCAGGTTGGACGTTGGCCGCTGCATCGAGATGATGGCGGATGCGGCTGACGTCGCTGTCAAGGACGCGGAAGGCTCGGATGAGTCCCTTCATTGATTACACGGCCTCGACCTCGGTGCACTGCGTTGCCATCGAATCCCACCCTTCACGGAGCAAAATGATCGATGTGAGTTCGAGGAACCAGTCGTCATAGTTTTCGGCGCCAAGGAGGCGGTGGGTAATGGGCAGGGCGGTCCGAGGGGAGAAAGGGGGTGGAAGGCTCATAACCAGTTGGAAGGGCAGGCAGCAGCAGACAGGTGGGTTGGTGGAGGAAGAACAGAGAGTGAATTAATTCTGACAGCAGAGGGGAAACTGGCTCTAGTTGTGCCAGTTCCTCCAACAGCCATTCAAATCCTAGATTATGATTGGCCACGACATTCTGTGATGTTCCGTGACGAATCTGCGCTGTCTTCTACTCTGAGGAAAAGCCTCTAGAAGACACAAAAACCTCCTACACAGCTAGCAGACGCTGCTAACCTGACTGACAGGGCAGTGGTGATGTTCTCTAACAGAACAGGGTGTTCTGACTGATACTATTAATAGTATACTACAGTATGTATCACCTCAGATGTGTTATGGTCAACGAGAAATCGACGAACAAAGTAAACATTGAACGACGATGATGTCAGGTGTTTTACGTTACATCCCTCGCTTTATCGGTCCATGGATCGGCAACCGCGACCGCGACAACGCGATCTAGCGTATTGGCCCTTCCGGCCTTTCGCGATGGCGTGAGCCAGCGCGACAGCTACGGATAAGCGGCCGCCGTACCGTACCCTGGGGAGCCCAAGGCCAAGACCCCATGGCGGATTGGTGTGGCTACTGCCTGCCCTCAAGCAGCCACTCGACGTACACCTGTACGAAGCTTTCCCGGGCGTTCCACCAGAACGCGGTGCGTCAAGACTTTGTGTTTCCACCAGGATAGGCTGCCATCCCACCTGGCGAATTACCCCCACGTGGTGGCGGTCGACGCACTCAAGGCGGACCCAGCGGCCACCGTGGTGGCAAACACCACGGCAAAGGCGGCGGGCGTGGTGGGGGAACCGGGACATTCTTCCTCAACACCATTCGCCAAGGCTACGCCTCCAGCGGCCCACCCGGTCATGCAGCAAGCGGCCCACCGGGCTACGCTCCCAGCGGCCGTCAAGGCTTCGCCAGCATGGGACAAGGCGGCCATTCCGGCTACGCCAGATTCAACTACGGCGATTATCGCGACGATCAACGCGGCCGTAGCCCGTTTCGTCAGTCGGCCTCCCTCTATCTCAGTCGCTTAGGCGACTGGTACCGCGCTGCGGGCACTATCGCGCCGACAGCGGCGCCAACCAAGATGACCGGCGCTACCCTCAGCCGTAGTCACTCCATGTACGACGACCGGCGCCATCGTAGCCGCAGCCGCAGCGCGCCGCCAGCCGACCAAGGCTACGACCAACCGGCATCCACCTCCCAGCGTAGCCAAAGCCGCAGCGCGTCACGCGGTTCTACCCGTACGTTAGTGTCTCAAAACACACGTCAACAACGTGACCAGACTTCTTATTTATGTCATAACGCACACATGCCGGCATTAATGCCTCGACATATTTTAGATGAACAACATTCACATGTTTCATTTACGGGACTACAACAGTTACCGACCAGTCAAGCGCATTCAAAGTACTTTCGACATTACTACAGGACTTCAGTCCGTACTACGACTCGCTCGATACTACTGTATCGCGATCACTTGTATTTACGGGTACTGGATGGGCACTTCGTGTGTCACCAACCAGCCCGGTTGTCAAAGAACAAAGGCGATCCCGTCACTGGACGGTCGATAGTGGTGCATCCAAGCACTCCACCTTCCATCCAGAGTGGTTCATGACATATGAATCATTCTCATCTTTTGCTGGTGCAGCCGACGGCCACCAACTCCACGTCATCGGCCGTGGCACAGTCCGACTCGAGGTCGCTGGCATCAACGACGACACATTAGTGGTTTATCTGCAGGATGTATATCACATCCCAGATTTACACTTCAACCTATTTTCTGTAGGTCGTGCACTACACATGGATCGACATAAAATTGTCTCCATCACCCCACAAGAGTGGACACTAGCCACCTACGACGGCGAGTTCACCGCAACCTACGACGAAGACACCGGGTTGTATGTCATTGCGACGCGGCTCTCACCGCGCGTCGCCGACCCCACATCGACCGTCCTCGTGACGCAGTCGAGTGCACAGGGTACTACGCAATGGCACCACCGACTGGGCCATCCAAGTCATGACAAGCTACGCAAATTGCGGCGTCATTCGACCATGTTTGAATTTTCCTATCTCTCGGCAGGCCATCACGGCTCATGCCTCGTGCGACACATGCTTAAGGTCGAAGTCCAAAGTACTTCCCTTTTCACACAACAAATTACCAATGTCGTCGAGGCCTCTGGAACGAGTGCACTCCGACGTGTGGGGTCCAATCAATATCCCCTCTATCTCTGGGGGTCGATACTTCGTCACGTTTATCGACGACTTCACCCGATACACTTTTGTGTACATCATGCAAAAGCGCGCGGACCTGTACGACAAGTACAGCGCGTTCTGTCGCGACGCACGGCAGCGTTATCGCTCCGACGTCATCGAGCTTTGCTACCATCACTCACCACCCAGTGAGTTCGAGGAAATCCAAGCGCTCCAAATGGACAACGCTAAGGAGTACGTTAAACTCGGGGCCCGTATTCAAAGCGAATACGACACCCGCCTAACGTACACGAATGCCTATACCCCGACCCAGAACCCTGTGGCCGAGCGGCGTATGGGCATCATCGTCACCATGGCTCGCTCATGCTACTGCATGGTAATTTACTACAGTTCTTGTGGGGCGAAGCCATTTCCCACGCAGTGTTCCTCATGAACATCCTGCCGTCCACCACCATCAGTGGGAACACTCCGTATCGTCTATGGCACCAGAGCCATCCAGATTACGCACGTTTACGCGTGTTTGGCTGTGTAGCGTACGCACACGTTAACATACCCATGCGTGTGAACAAGCTGTCTTCCCGAGGCATGCTGTGCATGTACATTGGCTTACCCGAGATATCTCGAGGGTTCAAGCTACTGAACCTCGACACACATTACGTGCTTACGAGCCGCGATGTGACGTTCGTCGAACATCAGTTTCCCCTCCTGAAATCAGTCGAGGACGTGAAACGTCTTCGAATTGAACGTCCCCGGCGGAACTGTTTCACTGTGGACAAATGTCCACCACCCCTCCAACCAAGCTTGTCTTCACCCCTTGGGGAGGCTGCGTCGTCCACGACAACAACACCTCTACCCTCGTTTGGGGAGGCCATTTCATGGAAGACACCTCTGCCCTCATTTGGGGAGGCTGAGACGACCACATCTCTACCCATAATTGAGGAGGCTCTACTCCGTGGGTCAACAGGTACAGTATGGCAAGTCCCTCTCATGCATGAAGTACCTGCGATCACCCCACCTGCCCGTTTGGGTAGCATCATTCGCCATCCCTCACACCCGTCGACCACAACACCGACGCCCAAGCGTCGTCGAACGTTGACCTTCAACACTACTGAGGAATATTTCCCCGTACCACGTACCTCGTTCCATGAGAAGTACAGACTGTCGTACTCTGGCATGTGTGAGTATGACATCCACCTCCACTCCAACGTCGTCACATACGACAACCCAGTTCTCGCAATTCCGCCTCGGCCATCTCGAGCAGCGGCGATAGCACATGTCGTACCTCGTCTCATCGACGTCTACCACACTGGACACGGTGGAGACACGTCCACGCGACGGTCCAGCTCGGTTGCTTATGTCATACAATGAGGACGCCTCGGGCGCTCAATCTCTCTCGACACCGAAACACATCCTCCTCGCCCTCAAGGACATACATTGAGGACGCCTCAGGCGCTCAATCTCTCTCGACACCGAAACACATCCTCCTCGCCCCCAACGACACGACTCCTTCAAAGGAGCCTACGACCTACAAACAGGCGATGAAATCGCCAGCCAAAGCGCAATGGCTTGAAGCCATGATGCTCGAGCTGGCAGCCCATGAGGCGAACGGGTCGTTCGAACCAACCACCTTGCCTCCAGATGCGACACCACTGGGCATGCGTTGGGTGTTCAAAATAAAATACGACGACTCGGCCACAGAGGCTACGAGACGCATCGCTCGCTACAAAGCGCGACTTGTGATCCAAGGACACACCCAAATTCAAGGCGTTGACTACAAGGAGATCTACTCCCCGATCATTGCCAAGGAAATCCTTCAAACGATGCTTACTCTCGGCGCGTCTCTCGACTATGAGATCGACGCAATGGATGTTATCACAGCCTTTCTCAACGGAGAAATCGACTGCGAGGTCTACGTCAAACATCCACATGGATTTGACACCACGATGTCTTTCGAGTCCTTCGCAGTGTTTATGGTACCAGACGCTATCTACCTACTTGCGCCAGCAAGGGTACACACAGCTCGTCAAAGACCGCTGTGTCTTCACCAAGCAGATGGACGGCCAAGCCATTTACATTGGCATCTACGTTGATGACTTGGTCATTATGGCTCCTTCACCGGACATGATGCACCCCGTCAAACATGGCCTGTCATCGCGTTTTCGAATGCATGACCTTGGGGCTCTATCTTTTATTCTCGGATTACACATTGTTCGAGATCGCTCTGCTGCCTGGTGTGGCTCTACTGTTCGTTTACACGTGCTCGAACTCTCGCAATGCACCAATCCCAATATGCAACCTCGATTCTCAAGAGGTTTAGCATGGAGAATTCAAAACACCCACTCCAATGGAGTACAATCTCAAGCGGTACTGTTGTACACCCATGAGCTTGTCGGCGCCGCTTGTTCGGATGGAAATGGCGATCGTTGATTGGTCGCTTCAGCGAATAATCCCCATCAGCTCGCTATCTCGTCGGACATTCTGCTTCTACCTTCAAGTTCTGCTGGCGCATCGCGTCTGACGCCTGGCAGAGCATTTCTTGATGCGCTTCCGAGACCCTGGCTTGTTTGGCCATCGCTCACTTAAGTTCGTTTTGCTGACGAACTAGTTCTTGTTGACGAAAAAGAATCGCTCGTGATTCTTCTTGTTCCAGACGATTCTTCTCCATCGTCTTCGCCATCGCAAACTGTCGGGAAGACTCATCTTCCATCCTCTTCGCCATGGCTTCTTGCTGCGCATGGAACTGCGCTAGCTGTTCGTACGTCATTTGGTTAAAATAACTTGACGTCATCGCTGCCCGCTCCACGCTCTACATCCTCAGCTCGTCCATCTCCGCTTGATTCTGTGGAGTTAATGGCACGGCCACTACGGTCTCCATAGACCGCATTCGCGTCACACGAGCTCATCATGGATAGTATGGGTGCGTGTCAGGGAAATCACAGGTGACGAAGACGACACAGACCTACCGTATTCCCCATCTACCTGCACCTAAACATTATCCTCCTTACCCAATACTTTCACGGGCGCTGATGCCATGGCTATGCGCATCACAGGCACTCTGCAACCGAGACTAGAGTTCACTAGCGGTACATTAAAACGTTAACCTAAGCTTACCTGTCCTAAAATGAAACGATTGGATCAGGTTATCCGGACCATGCCTAACATTATTCGTTGAATGATCAACTTATGATCGATCATTTTTTCGGAGTATTCACCGTATAATTCGCATATCTCCGCTCACATTTTTTCACATTTGTGAAGTGATTCTTAACAACCGAACACAGAGCTTTCACTTCATAATCGAATTATGACATTTCAAGATGTACTTATACAAAAAACCGACTTTCCAAGCAAGTTTACTCTATTTTTGAGGACCAATTTATGAGCACATTTTTAACCTTGAACTGTGTATGCCTCGATACATACAAATTGTGCGGATAGGGTATTCATTATGCTCAGGTAATGTATAATGTATTTCAAGAATATTTGGTCGGACAGTTCCAACGCCAGCAATACAAAAATCAAAAGGGCAGTAGGCCAATTGGCCTACGATTTTCCAAATCCATGATTTTAATTGAAATGTAAATACAATTATCAAGTATAAAAGTGACAATAATATTGCTGTCGTTTCGTAGGCCACAGGACCAAGCTTCGAACCACGCATCCAAATTGGCTAAAACAGTGACTGGGTCGATGGCCACGGCGGCACAGCGAGAATCATCAACGTTGGAAGACATACTCGGGGCTCCTGTCGCCGAGAGATCCAAGAAGGCGTACGCGTCGGGCATTCGCCAAGTAGTTAAGTGGATAAGGCACAACATACTGGGGGACTCCCAAAACCTACACAATGAATTTGAGTCGATGTCACAAAACCTCTGTTTTTCAAATAAAAATACGCGACACATTTTGTGGAGACGATTTTGTGGTCTGCACAGAATTGTGATTTGTGTCAACTAACCACACAAATTTACCTATATAAAGAAGTACAATATTTCTCAGGGAACGCATACGTGGCTAGCCATTCTACATTATGCCGCGTCGAGGTAAAGGGTGGTGTCCTGCGTCGACCGAGCTCATGCTCGACAAGATAGAGCTGTTCCTCCCAGCAGGACACAATGGCTGGGCAAAGGTAGCTGATGGGGCGCACTCACCGGAAAACAAGACGAGCAGACTATCAAATGCATCCGGTGGTAGCGACACGGTAGAGATGAAGAGGCTGGGTCACGTGTTGCATACATAGTGTACCAGGGACAATCTACTTGTTCTTGGAGTAGTGACCGAGCATTAATCTTGTTCCGCTCTCTGAGAGATGCTCGGAGGCGATGAGCTACCAGCACCCTGCGTAGTCGGGGCGGCGGCACCAGGGGACTCCAGCTACACCAAGACGCATTTCTTCTGAACTTTCCACAAGCCACCAATAATTCAGCCAATCATATCCTCTATTACTTTTCTTTTTACCCTGTAATACATCATTGTTATTGTGTCTTGTGTCGGTTTTGGTAGCACATCTCAGTGAAAGCCCTCTCAATCGATGATTGCATGACTAAAATGAAGCGCTTATCCGGACGAAATTGTGACTGAAAATGTGTATTGCGAAGGTTTTGGGAGCCCCTCACTGTACAACAACGTACAACACATTCAAACTCATAGGTATACGCCGTATCACTGCAACTGGGGGGCAGACCATATCAGCCAAAGAGAGTGGCAAAAGGCCGCTGGGTTGTGGTGCTTTCGATGGTTTGTGCCGCTCAACGATTTCCGCCATGGACTCCGGCTTCCAGCACCACTTCCTTGTCCTGTCGTAGAACCTCATGGCGCGGTCGAAATCCATTGAAACAATTCAGTTGAGCCACTTCACGTACGAAGAAGGTGCAATTGGAGGCACGCTCTTCAACTCAAAAACCGTCCAAGATGGCAGCAAACGCCGCGACCCAAGGCACGTGTATGCAAATGTATTGCAACCCCACATATGTGTCTTCCTTACGCTTGGGTTGTAATTTGCCTGCAATCCAATGTTGGCACCTGGTGTACTCTTTCCCGGCTCCTCACAACGAACCCGTTTTGGCAAGGCCCTCAAGCCTGCTTTGTATCATGAAAAACCTAATGGCAGCAGCAAGAGCGGAACGCACTCAATACACAAAGGCGCTGCGACATTTGTCTCTTCTGGCAGCACTGGTGGACCCTCGCTTGTCAGCATTTGCCTTCGTTGTGGTTGGTCTTTGAGGAGTGTGTTTGAACGCTACATGCACTACGAACGTGCGGATGACCAGTTCGTTGGCTGAGTGGCTGTAGGCCTCCCTCTGACCCACAGTTTGCCGTTCTACCGCCACTTCATGGACAGCACCAGCGATGTCGTTGTAGCAGCGATGAAGGCCATGTACCCCACTCTCTCCCACCAACACCATTTGTGGATTTGTGGAGCATTCTGTCCCACGTACTCGCGTCCCTTGTGTTTCACTACAACTATATCGTCGAGTCCCTTCCGCCCAAGCAAATAATCTTCCTCACGCCGGTTTTCCGATTACTGCAGTTGTTCGAAGCGTTGCATGCGGAGCTAGCGACAACAAGGCCACGACTGCTTCCCTCTGATGTACCACCGTACATTGAAGTGAACAGGCTTTTGGCACAACAAACTCAATCCATCGATGCCATCCCAAGCAGCATTGTTGCTCAAGTCCGCGACATGTTCAACGAGCATGACGTGGTCGGCGGAGTCATCACAAGTACACTCCTGAAACAAACAATTTCTCGATGCTTTGCAAGTTCATCATGGCAGCAATCCCAGCGCACCAACTGGTATATCCATCCAGCTCTGGTCGAATGCACAACTGCCCCAATCGTTTGAATTCCCCGACGAGGACTACTGCAACAGCATGGATGATATGGTGGATCGGCAATGATCGTCTGAACACATTCCATACAATGCAATTGACCCACGTGACCTGGTCTCAAAGAAGAAGCGTCGAATCCTGTCCGAATGGAAGCTTGTCATGACTGAGCTCACTGCACAGTACACCTCATGTACGTCTGTCAATCTGCCAAGTGTTTGGAACAACAAGAGGCGGCACAAACTTTTGGCATTGCCGTTCGCGGTTTGCACTCGTTGCTGTCTACCACTCGATTGGAACGCGAGAGGCACTTTGAACAGTTGAATGTAGTGACAATTGCTCGGATCATTCGGGAGCTTCGGGGCTCGTACCAAAAACGCAAAAGCAGCTCGGTGTTATTCATTTCCGATTGGCTTAATTTCAAATGCATGAGGTGGATTGCAACCAATGACAAGGCGTACGTTCCTTGGTACATTTACGTTAATGGGTTCTACTCGAAACCCATTCAACCAATCGAACAGTGGGGCGGTTTCAAACCTCTGTAATAGTATACTGAATACGTATATAGAGGTCCCGTTGCGCGCAAGAAGGTGCAATTCGAAACTTGCCAGTCGAAGCGAACGCTGACGCTACCAACACCGATACCGGCCACCATCACCGATACAAGTACGTTCAAGGAAACTACGCCACACTGCACTCCCATCGAGAGCAATCACGTGCGCGCATGTACCCCGAGTGCAACCGTACTTGATTTTTGTCGCCTCCCGTCAGCTCATCTCGACTGTGTGATGCTCAGACTTTGTCGCAACTTGCGCCTCCGTGCAACTTCTCAATACAAACACAATGTTGGGGGAGCAGTGGACTCCCGGGCAAAGCTTGGTGGTGTATTGTGCAGTTGAAGGCAAAACTAGAACTGAACTACTCACTAACCGACTAACAGTGTAAACTGATCCTATACTAACTCCTAAGTCTAAATCCTCTTTTGGTTCCACAAATCATCCAAAACTAGACCTCGCATTTCCTGATCCTAACTTTTCCTGCTCGCACCACACACCGCGCCACCCGCAGCCGTCCACCGCAGACCAGGCCTCGCCGCCCGAATGGCTCCAGCCAGACGCGTCGAGTGGGTGCCAAGAACTACGGGTATGTCCATCATGGCAACGCAACACTCCCCCCATGCCAGTGTCCGGCACCTAGCTCGTGTAATACAACTCGCAACAATGACATGAAGGAGGGTGCTCTACAACCATTCTAGGGCCGCGACCAGCCCTTCGCGTTTAGCGCCGTTTTGCAATTGGTCGGCAAACGACTGCACCAAAGATGAGACCTCCTGGCGCATCGCCGGGAGCTGTTCCCAGCTTGCTTCGAGGCTCTCTAGGCCTTTCCATCGGATTAGTAATTCCCATTGGTTAGAACCAGGGTTGCGCCTTGCGTATTCGATTGGGTCAACAACCAGTGTGGTCCCTTGCTCACTGACGTGGTCGATAATTACTTCAGTAACCTGAAAGTGGTTTTCCTCGTAGAACTTGAGTCGTGACTGATGTGCTTCGCGCTGTACACCCGTAATCAATTGTTCTATGACACATGAGTAGAGCAGGCACTTGAGGACTCGGAAGGGGCGAATCCACGTGGCCAGTAGCTTGGGGTTGTGTGTGTTCTTATCCACGCGGGACCAAAGCACAAAGTCTCCTTCTGTGACATTCATTTCGTTTTGGTTTACCTTCTCAAGCATTCGCTTGTTTTCGGCGGCGCACCGTTTGTCGACGATTGTTGAGTGAACTTCTTGTAGTTCCTCCACAGCTTGCCGTAGTTTCTTCTGTTTTCAGTCGATCGTGTGGAATCCGGTCTTCGATAATCGCGGGTTGACTTTGCCAACGATGGTGTTGAGCGCTGTGGTCGACTCCAAGCCTGTGAAGCATTCCATGGGGCTTGTGTGGTCCAGCGTCGCCACCAGCGATTGGTTGATGTTGGCTTGTACAACCGGTAACAGAAAATCCCATTCTGTTTCCTTGAGTTTTGTTTCTCTCAGCATGATTCGCATGAGTCCCAAGATGTCGCGGTTGACTCGTTCGACCGTCCCGTTGCGTCATGGGCAGTATGCAAGCACTAAGTTGTGCTGCACTCGTAGGCGCGTCGCAAGTTCCTTCATGGCGGAGTTCTTGAAATGGCTTCCGCCGTCTGAGATCCTGACTTCAGGGACTCCAAATAACGCCGACCATTCCATAATGGCTTCAACTGCAACTTGGCTTGTCGGGCTAACGCATGCAATGAGGCGGCAGTAATGGGTCAAGTCGTCTTTAAGGACCAGGACGTACTTCGGTACTCGCCACGCTTCGCCCATAAATGGGAAGTCGATGTGTAGGCCTTCATTTCGGTGCATCGCCCCCACGCGTCCCTGGATGCGAATGTCCAAGCATTCGACAAGCTGCGTACAGCGGTGGAAAAGCTGGAAGGGTATCCCCTCAGCGACAGCCATCTACCGATGTCAACTGCAGGCTCGTGACAACATACTATTATAGTGAAGAAATGACAAACCTGCAGAACATACAGCCTCCGGATAATCCATTTCGCAAAAGTTGCGCTACTCCGTACTATCTGATGGATAGTGTTTTTATCTTCAAATTGTATGTGACCAACCATATGGTTTCCACGTAATGCAACACCAGCGCAAGAATAGTTGCGTGGATCATTGGATTATCCTTTTCACCGAAATTTGGAGTGGGCTGTTACGCTGAACGAGGTAAACTTGCCAACTTTCAACTGGCCAAATCGAAGAGTGGACGTTTGATTATTTAACGTACAATTAATGTAGTTAAACCCAAAAATCAAATACGTTAAATACCGATTTCATTGCGTTTTATCACAGCAGTGGGAGGTTAATGGTCCCACCTGCCTGCGGATTTTATATACGGATAAGAGTATACAAAAAATCAAGATACATCTCAGTACCGTATGGCCAAATATCCAAGCGCCCATGTAAAATACCGCTAGGTTTAATATCTATTTCTGAACCAATTCATTACCAAATTTGAATCTGAGAATTTCTTCACCACATTGAGATCTGTCGATTCTACGCCTCAATTTGACGAAATTTTGAGTAATGAATACTAGTATGAAATACATAAAATTTTGTGAAAAGTTGGTAACGTTAGTTTATATTAAATAGTTGACGTGCAGCATATTAATCAAGTATAATGAGCATGCTTTTATGAACTTTCCTACACCAAGCGAAGTCAACCAGTTTGCAATGGTTGGAGCTAGGCGATCATAGTACCCCGCCATCCCAGGACTGCTGAAGCACCTGGAGCAACTGTGTCGCGTTAAATTCCCCTTTCCAGACTGCCCCGCTAGGATGTGCTACACTCAACGTAAGAATATCTTTACGCACTGAAACCGTCATGATGGTGTTGGCGAGGTCGTAGACTCGGACTGGAACTTGCACACTGAGGATCAGCATATTGAATTTGACTGTGCGCAGAGGTGATATTGCTCCAGGACATCCCGAGTTTGTTATGCCCTCTGCTGGTTCTAACATACATGGCGTTTTAACCGAAATTGGGGTTTCCGACGGCGTGTATTGTCTCCCGCTTCTTCTTGGCTTTCGGCCACGGGACCTTCGTCAAGGCAGCAAATATA